TGAACTGGAAAGTGACCTGAGATGACATGATGTGAATTGGAGCTATAGAAATAGACTGAATAGAAAATGTTATTGATGGGGGAGGGGTTAAATGTAAAAGCAGATGTGGATGGAGGTGGGGGCCTACCAGGAGGGCCGCAGGCGACGCTGTAAGACGTCCAGAGATTAACGACCATCAGGAACGTCGCTATGAACCCAAACACCTGCAAACAAACCACAGAAGTCACAGAAGCCGCATTCGCAGCAGCAGAAGGTCCAGAACCAGAGACGGAACGCCAGAGGAACCCAGAACCGCCCGGCGAGTTACGCACCGACGCCACCACCAGCGAAGAAACTCCTCCGCATCCCACAGCGGCGGCGGTGGAGGCGATGAAGAGCAGGACGGATCCCACAGAGTAATGGAAGAACTCCTGAAGCACAGAAACACAGCGCATTAACCGGCGGGTCCGGTTCTGGTCCCGGCCGGTTCTTAGAGCCCGATCCGACAGGAAGACGGCTACAGAACGCACCTCTGAACCTTTACTGGTGCAGTAAAACAAACGGGTTAAAGAAAAGCCGACATTAAACCGGACCAGAGCAGAACTCACCGTCAGCGGCCAGTTGATGCACGGCATCCTGGTCTGCAGCCGGAACAGGTGCATGAGGAAGAAGATGAGGAAGGCCACCAGGAACCACAGCAACACCACCTCAAAGAACTGGAGGGCGTGCCAGTAGGGCCAGCCGCCGGCCAGGCAGACGCACACGAAGGCGATGAGCAGAGAGAGCTGGAGGGAGGAACACGGATTGCATTGGATCAGAACCACAACATAGAAATAAGAAAACCAGATGAGGGCTGAACCAGATAGACTGGATCCAGAAACAACAGAAACGCTAAATCAGCTCTGCTAACAGCACTGATTGATCATTCCTCTAAATACAGAGCTAGATCAGCTAGAGTCAGCATACTAAGGTAAACAGAGCGACATACCCTGTCTGATAATGATAGATCTACAGCCTCACAGTATGTTAGAGCAAAATACCCTGTCTGATAATGATAGATCTAGAGCCTGACAACATGTCAGAGCGACATACCCTGTCTGTTATTGATAGATCTAGAGCCTGACAACATGTCAGAGTGACATACCCTGTCTGTTATTGATAGATCTAGAGCCTGACAACATGTCAGAGTGACATACCCTGTCTGTTATTGATAGATCTAGAGCCTGACAACATGTCAGAGTGACATACCC